TTTCTTCCTTTCTTTCCTCCTCCCTCCGCTGGGTGCTCGGAGGAGAAGGCAAGACAAAAAGCTGAACCGGTGCCAAGAAGGAGCTGCAGCGACTCGAAAATGGCACTCTACGCCGCACTAATATTTCGAAGCCGGGCTGCGCTGGAGAGCAGTGAAACGTGCTGGGAATGAGAATGGCTGGGGCCGCGGGGCTGCTGGCCGGGCTCAAGGGTGTTCTCCCACCTCCCCGCTTCCCCTTCGCCTTTTAAATGTGACCCTCTTCTCCCCCATCATCCACCCTCAGTGATATTTAGGGGTTCTGGGAAAAAGAGGGGATCCTTGCCGGGGGTTTGGGGCAGAGAGGGAGAAGGGGGGCAGCCCCTTGCACCCTGGGGCTGGTGTGGCGTGGGAAGCGCCTGGCAGAAATGCTCCACTTGTAGCCGGTCTCTAGCCCGTGTGTGTCTGTTACAATGCTTGCTGGAAAGGATTATAAGCAGGGAAGGAGCAAGTGTGCTCATTCCCTCCTGCCATCTCCATATCGGGGAGGGATTTTCATTTTTTTAATTTTCTTCCTAGGGAGGAAGAGTTGATTCCTAGGGAGGAAGAGAAGACTTGATTCCCAGGGAGTTTTCTGATTGTTTTCATGTTGCCACTCCTTCCCCTCCTCCTCACTGTCCTCCTCCTCTTCTCTCTGTACCCATAAGGCTGCTCTCGTGGCTCTGTATCCTGATGCAAGGTTACTTGTAGGACATGCGAATCTCTGCAAGGTGCAGCGTCGCCTGCGTCGGTGTTCCCCTCTGCTTCTCATTTGCTGGGGGACGAGACAACTTCCAGGCAGCTCCACAGCTCAGCTGAGCTGGTTAATGCAGTGTCGATGCTTCAGTTGCAAAAGCCCCTAACCCTAACCCAAACCTGCCTGGATAAAACAAACAAACAAAAAATAATATAGGGCTGAAACTTCAACAGCAGTTCCTAAGGTTGATTCATTTGCAAGGGATGAGACTGGAGTTTTGCTGTGATTTTTGACTGAAATAAAAGGTTTTGCCCTGGGTTGGTCCTCTCTTCCCTTCATTCACAGGCTAGGAAAAGGTACCAGAGAGTACCTTTTTTTTTTTTTTTTTTTAATATGGGGTTTTGATTTTTTTAAAACTCTTTTTAAAATTGTTACCAGCACAAGCATTCTTGTAGTAGTCCAATATTTGAAGCAGAATACAAAGGTCTTCCACCACGCGCACACACACAGACTCCTCTCTGGATCACGCTGGCATTTGGATCTGAAGTTTTAAGTCAGCTTTACAGAAATTGGAGACTGGAGAAAGAGAAAAAACCCTTTGGGTTTGAAAACGGGTCCAGATCCTGTTTTAACAGCAGTTTTATCACCCACACAGCCAGCAGGTCAAGTTCAAGGAGATCTTTCCAAAGCATGGGCAGAGGCTTATTAACGTGCTGCATCTCAGAAGCTTGTGGGCTGTTGGCTTGTTAGCTTGACCCGGTTTGTAGTCCCAGGCGTGGGATGATCCCCGTGACCTGTCTCTCACCTGAAAACCATGCCCTAGTACGTATCCAAGCCACTTCAAATCTCACCTTTGGTTTCAGACACATGGTCCTGGTTTTGGAGCACCTAATTCTGCTCACGTGATGCCTTTTGGAAATACTGTGATAAATAGTGGGGAATTTAGGAACACTTAAACACGTCTTCAGCCTGCTATCCTCACCCTCTTCTTTTCACAGCTCCTAGCAGATCAATGGTCCTTCCTCTGCAGAGGATCGAAAGATCAGTCCCAAATTAATGCTGCTAGGAGGTGCGCTCATTTCTGAGGTGGTGCTATCAGGCTTTGTATGGAGTAGGACGTCTGCAGCAACTGATCTCTCTATTCTTCCTCCTCTCAGCTGTGCTTTGAACCATGTAGCTGCTGCAGCTCAACTTGAGCTTGCACAGAAGGGATGCTGTTGTCTCTTCTTGCACTTTTCTCTTTGTCACAAAAGTGAGGGGCACGTAGTGCTTGGCCCAGGAAACCTTGGACAGGGCGAAGAAACCATGGCAAATGGATACAAGAGGGTTGGCCAAAGAACTTGGAGTAATCTGTGTGCCATTGTACGTTCCACCAGATCCAACCTGTTCTTCATGAATAAAGTATACACATAAAAATACATGGGCTTGTATGCACGCATGTGCTTGCTCTTTGCTTTTCAGTTGCCTCTTTTGACTTAATGAGTTGTGTATTTAAGCTACCATCCTCACCATGCAGACCTTGCCTGGATTTCCCAGCAGTCCTTGCTGACAGTTTTGGCTGCAGCTGCGCCTCTTTCTCTGGCCACAACCTCCTCTTTTTAACCTGAGATCCCTGACCATGGGATGCCAACCTACTAAAGCAAATGCCAGGAGTGGAGATTAAAGCCTACATCCAAGTGAGCGGAGGAGACCCTGGCGGCTGTCCTAACCTGCCATGCACTTGCATAGAGCATGGCTCACGCTTTTAGATGTGGAGCCAGCTTGTGTTTATTACTGATTTAAACCTCTTAACACTTCTAGTTACCAAATAACAATCCCCAACAGATTTCTAGAGAGGATCCCAAAGATACAGGCAAATATTAATGTGGACCAACAGTATCCATGTGTGCAAAGTAACAATGTAGTGTTTGTTATTCAGGAAGGTAAACTGAAGACAGTGAATGAAGAAACCTTCTTAAACCTTTATATTTCCAAATGCAGACCTCTTTCATTTCCTCAATATCTTGACAATGCTCTGGAGTAAGGGAGCTTGTCCATCTTGGCACAAAATTTTTACCCTTGTACTTTCCAAGTGGTCCAAGTAAGCCATCTGGGTTGGTCGGTCATACTTCCCAAAGAGCATTGCAAGGCTTTGACAAGACAGCTGAATGTCTTTGTCTTTATTTCTCCCTGTGTCAAAGAAGTTTCTTTGGATGTATTTCCCTGAAACATGATGTCTCATGAATCTCAAGTTGTTTCCTTCAAATCCCTCTTCCTTTTAACACTTCATAATGAGAAATGTTGTCCGCTTGGAGTTGTTAGGTGATGACTTGTGTCTAAAAGGGTTAATCCGGAGGACTCTTCCGAAGCTATCTTCCACCCCTTCTCCCCACACCTTCCCCACTCTAAGTCTTTATTTTTTTGGACCGGTAACCTCACATTTCTGTAATCTAAATGTGCAAATGCTTTGCAGTCACGGTCCAGTAGCTGGGTTAATCTCAGACCCCTGGAGTGGCAGATGGCTGATTTGTCGCTGATTCCAGTTACCGAGAATCGTGCCACCTATTATCTTTGCACAGGCTGCTGCTTAAAAGGATGCCTTGGGCAAAATCAGTGAAAAGCAAAGCAAAGCAAACACTCTCTGATCTGCATCACCACAGGTGAAAATGTAAAATATTTCACCTTTGTGTGAAGGGCTCAAGAGGTGGACAAAGAGGGGAGAGGAGGCAAGAGGGGAAGAAGGGGAGAGGAAGACCTCATTTTCACACCAGAAGTGCAGAAGCATAGGGCAGAGCGGGTTTGCTGCAGTCACAATGTTGAATCACAAGCACTTATCCTGTTTTAAATGGTTTTGCAATGTGGTAATCCTTGGCTTCAGCTCCCTGCTTTAACTCTTAAACAAAGCAGGCGGCTTGGCTTCCTGTGACACCTTCCTGCTCTTCCCAAGCTTTTCCAACAAGGGTTGTCATAGGAATCCATGGCACCACTCCCTGCCATCACGCCTCATTGCGTGCCCCGCGGCTGCTGGGGAAAGCCGTGATGGCCCTGTGGTGCTGCCATGCTTACCAGGGCTACTTGGGAGGAGAAACCTATGTGGGTTAAGGAGAAGCTTGGGGGACCTTTCAAAACTGAGTGGGGCCAAGGGTGAACCCCAGCACCGGGTGCTCAGAGGGCCCTGGCTGGCAGGTGGTGATGGGCACACAGAGTGACGTAATGAAATGGAGAAGGGCAGAGCAAAACTTTGGATACTTGTGACCATTTTCTGCAAGGTCATTCCCACAATCAAGGTTTTCTCTTTTCTCTTTGCTCTGGGAAACGCCACAGAGTCAGATGAAGAATTTGGGAAGAGAGTGTGGGTTCCCTGTGCAGAGTCCAGTGACGAAATCTGTGAACAAGGTAAGAACAAGGGGTTATGGCTGTGAAAGTTTTTGTTTCTTCCTTTTCCCCTTCTAAACCCATTATTGCAGTGTTAGACACAAAATTTAGGATGCGCATAGCACAGAAACTGATATTCCAAGTGCTAAGCAAAAGAGTCTAAAAAGATCAAGCTAAATAGGGCTTCTTTTTAATACATACCATTATGATGGTTTGGGTTTTAGAACAGTTTGTATTGTATCCAAATGATCTATGTGTGAATAATTGTTACCAACCTCCTGACACCAGGACCTAATTAGGAAGTAAGAGCCTTAAATAGGCCATTTGCGTAGTGAGCTTCCATATGTCTCCTTGCGCAATTTATTTGCTTCACTCCATTGAGATATAATGAGAATGAAACTCCTAGAACTGCCTTTGACTCTGAGGCTCTCCTCTTCATCTCCTCTGCAGTTATAGCCCACTATTGAAAAGATAATATCTATTTCCCTTTGTTCAGAAAGAAAAAGCTACTGTACTGCTACTCTTATTCCAGATTGCCCAAGTTTCTCTATTTCCAAGTTTCCAATGGAAATAGAATGAGAAATGCCAAAACAAGCTGCAGCCTAAGAAAAATGTAATGCTGTCAGAGAAAGCACAAAGAAAGTTAGGATGGGATGATCTTGAAGGAATACGACCTACCATATCTACCTCAAAATCCTGCTGAAAAGCAATGTTGTGGTATTTCAGTCAATGTATAGATGTAATTTGAAGAGTGCTGTGGTGGTTCTGTTTGGCTTTCTTCCTGCTAGGATGTGAAGAAGGGGGAAAGGCTGGTACAAGACTGCCTGAGTTTTGTCTTAGTTTTGAATATTTAGCTCAGTCTGGACCAACATGCTCTCTGGGGCTCTCTGTTCTTGTTATGTTGTAGAGCATGTTCTTTAAATATGGCTTGAGAAGATATCCTTCATTTCCAAACCCCTCATACATGCATGACTCCATCCCGTGCTTCAAGTGTCCTGCTTCACTCTTTTACTCCCATCAACCCAAAGTCAGCGAAACTTAAACATATGATCGAGTACCATTTTCTAGCGGGATGAACTTTAATGAGTGCTCAAGGTTTTGGTTTTTTTTTCCCCCCAAATCAGGGCCTTATTTAGTTTCCCAGTGAAAGACAGTTCCACTTGCAATGATTTTGTTTATGATAATTCACTTGCGTGTTCCCTTCCAGGAACTGTCATTGCCTTCCAGAAGGGAGGTTAGTGCTGGTCCCCTCGCAGTGATAATTATAATCAGACCTGTCAGCCTTCACACAGTCTACGCTTATCACTTGCATTTAGGAGGATTTTTCCTGAAGCCTATTACCAGTGCTGCTTCTTAGGGAAAAATAGTCATGATTTTTTCTGCTAATCTTTGATGGCTCTCAGCTTTGAAAGTATGGAGAGGAGCAAAATGACTGCCAGTTGCAGTTAAAGAAACTGTCTGTTGGTCCTGGTGTAGAGCTCTGCATCTGGAGAGCCAGGGAATGGGTGGATTGTCTGGGAAATGCTGAGGGGTTTAATTTGGTTGTGACAACTCTTCAGGTGTGTGGGAGATGCAAAAGAGTGCTTTTTCCCATGGTAATTCTCACAGAAAATATCTCTGCAGACCCACTAGACAAGAGCTTCTGGTGGCAGGTGTTTTTTGGCGGTGGTACCATCTTTCCCTGCTCTTTTGGGCAGCAGTCTGTGGGTTTGCCCATGTCAACCACTTGGATGCAGGGTGGCCAGAGAAATGGCTGTGGTCAGTGCTGGAGGCAATGGCTGGCATCCAGGGATGGGTGCAGGGCAGGACCGATGGACCCCCTGCCACCAGCACACCGCAGTACAGCAGTGACCAACTGGACAATGTGGTGCTGTTCAGTAGGATGTGGTTTGGTGTTTTCTTCATCCCAGGATGTTTGAGAATTGTCCACCCTCGTGTTATTCACTGGGAAACACATTGCCCCATTTAGTAGACTTCCGTCCATTTTCACTCCAATTTTCCTATTGATATGCTAATAAACCTCCTTTCTTTGGTTTTTGCTTTTTGCTAACTTAAAAAACAAGTAAATTTTACCATTTCATTAGTCTAAATGAATGATGTATCTTTCAGTCCCTCCTATATTATCACCATGCTCTTCGTAATGTTCTCAGAGATTTGGGTCCCTTGATTTAGGCAGAATTTGAGGATGGTCAGCACTTTATAGCTTTTGTAGCAAAGGAAATGGTGGGAGAGTAGGAACTCTTGCATTCTCTGCAGTTATATATTTACAGTGTGCCAGGATATGATTTGCCTTTGTTTTATTTAAATTCACTGGGAACTAGAGATTTATTTATCAGGTGTCACTCCCTGAAGGAAGATAAATGCCATATAGCAAAGACTTCATCTATTATACAAACAGATTTGAAGGCTTTGCTACTGCATTCCTCTGCCTGCTGCATGGAGTAAAAATGCCTTCAGCTGAACAGAGAGATACTTAGCAGTAGCATCTTATGACCTTTTGATCAGCTGAGATCTCAAGCCATATTAGTGGACAGATTATGATGTGATGGAAAGAAGGCCAAGAATAGCCTTTTTATCATGAGATCCTTCCTGTGAATATCCTTCTTCGGTATATTCAGGTGGTTAATCACTAGGGCCAGGACAATCATTTGAAAACGAGGGAGTGAAATTCTGATGCAGGCAATCCAAATACGCTCAGGTTTGCCAACTACAGCTCAATATTACAGCTTATAGTTTCTCCCCAATATTCTCCTGCCCTCCTCTTTCTACCAAGACTGTGGGTGGCCTTGCAATATTTCTGATCACTAATAACCCCTTTGGCAGAAAGATCTACGCAAAATGGACCCTGAGTCCTTGGACCACAGGGGTGCTGCAGTCCCCAAATCAAAGGTATGCACATGGTGAATATGAATATCTGACTGCAAAGGGAAACATTGACAAGGAAATGTCTCTGTATCATTTTTGAGACAATAACAGTGATGCTTAAACCTATTTCAACTCTTTGTAGGAAAAAAATGCAGGTTTTAAAAAATGCACAGCCCTGATCGTATTTTTTCCTTTTTAAGGAGCCAAATAGAAACAAGAGCAACTTTTACATTGATCTTACCTACCTGCCTGTGCAGGATTACTCCTTAAACTGTGCTGTAGGTTTAAATCAGCCTCCTTTTTATCGTAATGGCCTATATGAGTCTTCAGCCTTCTTGATAATTGGGCGTAAAGTAACTCATTCATTTCTGACTCTGCACGTCAGTAATGGTTGTGCCAAAGTTTGATGTGGCTGCTGGCACCACTTTTAGAAGGAAGGAAGGACAGACATGTGTTTGTGAAGTCTGATGTAAATGCATTTGTGTCTGTCTGAGCATAAGCGCATGCCCAGTCAGCCCATGCTGGTTATGGAGTACGTAGCATAGACCTGTACCCGTTAGCACAGGGGTATCAGAGTTGTACATGTCTTGTGTCCTCTTGAAGCCAAAGGAGCTGTTCATTTTCCTGATAGGAAGAGGGAGAAGGACTGGTGGTGTGCAAATACCAAACTGCTATCAGTGTAGTGAGGATGCTGATGCATCAGGTGTGGAGAACAATAGCTGCCACGGCCCTATGGAAACTCTTTGAAAATTAGAAGGTTATGGAGGTGGAGGAAATGCACAGCAGGACACCGTCTCCTCTTATGTCACCCAGCCTCTTCAATCAGGTGCCTGCTGGGCTTCCCACTCCTCCTGCCTTTTGCACTAGATCATAGGATCATAAGGTATTAGATTCTGCTGGCATGAAGTCATCCACCATCCTCCTGGCATTAGAGCTTCCTGAGTCAGGGAGCTGCCGTGAAACCCTGAGGCTGTAAGCCCACATGGTGCTTTTAGCTGCAGCTGCCAGGGCCACAGAGGTGTCCAAACAGGAGCTGGGAAGAGACACCAGCTGCCTGACACTAGTCTCTACCACCTTTTCTTTGGGAAAAGCAGGCACTGCAAAGGGTGGATGGCAGCCTTGGTGTGGTCTGTTCACCAAGAAAGTGCCATTGCCAAAATACGGCCAGCTCACTATGATAAGGTGCTCCCTCCCAAGCCCCTTCTGCAAACCACAAGTTGGTTGCTGCACAGGTGATGTCCACAGACAAGCGTTGCAAACGTCATGAGCGAAACCATTCAAAGGGTTTCTCTGAACGGTTGCCATCTGAGAATAAGAGCTTCTGATGACAGCTTTGAAACCTTTCCACTGAGAAGGCTTTGTGGTGTGTGTGGTGAAGGGGGTGTAGGTATGAAATGTTTCCTCTGCCTCCCTCCACTGCCTTGTAGTGCTTGGGTCCCTGTGGGGTGTAGGAGGGTGCCCAGACTTGGGCAACACCATACCGAGGTCTTCCCTCTTGGTGTGGGATTACGTTAATGCTGCTGTGCCTTCTGCCAGATGCTCCCTGCCCTGATATAATCAGTTCTTCTCAAAGTAAAGTGCTTGTATTCAGCTTCTTGTAGCAGAGGGACCCATGCAAACAGACTCGTTTTGCCTTGGCAGCTCAGCACAGAAATTCCTATGGGACATCTTACGGTCCTGCAGTGTAGCATGGTTAGAGCATATGGCAACTACTTGAGGTGGGATGGTTTTTTTGGGGTATGCAATTTAAAGTTGCAAATGTTGAAGATGTAGTATCAGGCAGATGACAGTGGTGTGGGATGGGAAAAAGAGGACAGTGGTTTGTTTATGAAGTTAAGCTGCCATGTATAATAACATCTTTGTCATTTTAAACACATGACAACTTGTTCCTTGCAATTATTCTTAGATTGCAGACAGCAGTAATCTACAGTTGCTCACTATGAGTGATATCATGAACCAGCCAAAGATTATTGTTATAACCAAACTTAGAGCCATACAACTCCCTTCTCCTCGCTGGAAAGAGGTGAACTTGGGCAGGAAAAGGTGAAGAAGGACATATGTCATACCAATGTCTTAGGCTGCATCTGTTAAGCAGTGTCTGGGAATGTCACTCGGCATGGGAGTGTGACTGGGTATTCTCAAACCACTAGACCAGT